ATGTTGCCCAACAGAATCATGCAGCATCACATCAATCGTAGAAACAATAAACATGAGCAATTAATTCCTCCGCAGTGGAACAGATATGTCCAGAGCAGTGGGGTTAGACCCATTCTTATTCACTTGAACTTTAGATTTCAAATTAAGATGAAGCTTGTGGCATTTATCAAAGGTATGTCCAAATATCTTACAATGGGTACAATAAGGATGTTTGTGTTCCATGAAGATTTGTTGTCAATAACCATTATGAGTTGTGTCCAGCCAGACTTCAGTAATATCAGGTAAAGTAAAATTTATTTCTACAAGTATTTTGGCTACAGAATGTCTGGTTAGATTGAAAGTGAGTAGATCTATCTTCATAAGGTTCCCAAGTATGGCCCCAATAGAGTACAGAACCTAATAATTTAAAAAGTACAGTTTGAGATCAGATAGCTAAACCATAATAGTACAGTGGGAGTTTCATGATTTGAGTCAAAATCAGGAGACCACTTGAGTAACTTCATTGACTTCCTGCAATATTGAGATATTTTTTGAGAAAATTTGAGTGCAGTCTTCAGCCACAGTTGATTGAATTAACATATGTCTCTCATCCATGAATCTCACTTTCCTCCCATCATGAATCTCACTTTTCACTTGTCTACTAGTTTGTGATCATTAACAATCATTCTGATAACTTCCATATGTGGGTGCCCCCACTGAAATTTTCCAATACGAGCGAACTTGAATTTCTCAGTCAGGGTTGAAATTCTTAAGTCATAAAAAAAGAGTGTTGTTTTCCCACATTTCCTACATGCCTTCTTAACAAAAAGACAATCACTTGTATCATCACGACAATCTTAATAACTTGAGGGAAAAACAATCGCCGACTTCACCTGGGATTACCCGCCACGTGGGCAAAGAAGACTGACAGGTTTAATCAAAGGAGCTAGAAGATCCCGATATAGCTGTCAATGCCTCCTACTGCAAAGTCCTTGGAAGCAGGGAGAGGCGAACGTACGTTATGCATCTGTCAATGTCGAAACAGCCAAGGCTAAACGACGCAGAATCAAAAGTGCAAAGTTGTAGGCGTCGAAATTGAAATAGCGAAATGACGCAGACGCGAGCCACTGTCGGCGTTGAAGCTGACGAAAAGCAGTAACGACGGGAGCCGAAGACGATGAAGAAGACGCAGCGAGGAGAAGAGGACGCCCGAGAAGACGCAGCGAGGATTTGATGTGAATCGCCATAACAGTTGCTACAGTTCGCCATGAGTCGAAACCCTAGCAGAGCCAATAGCGGGAGAAGACGACGCCATGTAAGGGAAAACCTCACTCCAATGATGAAAGCTGACTTAGCTTTAGATTAGCTCATTTATATGAATATATTAATAAAAGTAAAGGTACAAATAGTTTGGATGACAGAGCCCAAATTGGCACCCAACCACCCGACATACAACACACAAGTAGAAATAAATGTATACCAAAAAAATAAGAATAAAAAGTAGACATAGAAAAAAGTACGCCAATAGTCTTTCAACACTCGCAGATTCAATTAGCATGTGAAAGATTCAATTTAATCTTGCATCTGCCGCTGGATCTAGGACGAGAGTCAGCCAACAAATTGTTAAATTTACTGTCATGACCTGAAACAACTAATGTATCATCCATCAAGTTTGGTAATAGACCTTCGTTCTTCTTCTTCTTCCTAGAGGTATAAATATGTCATTCCTTATTCGAGAATTGACTCATCTGATTAGCGGATTGGCCCAAAGATGGTCGTAAGGTGTAAGCTCTTGCACATCATGAGCTCCATGTGCCTGAGTAACAGTAACAACTTGTTCTTCCTGATGAAACGGTAGAAACTCAGTAGAGATATTGTCACTCGTTACATCAACGATAGGTTCTAGGGTTGGTGAGGTCTGAAATATCTCCCCCGCCCCCACGAAATGAGGTTCCATAGACGGGGAACCTACATCATGATTGTGTGGAGGTACGAAATGAGGTTCCATAGACGGGGAACCAACATCATGATTGTGTGGAGGCTAAATGGTTGACATATTACCTGCAAAGATAAAGACATATTCAGGAGTATCCTTCTGATGCTTAATAGTATCAATAAATTGGACCAGATCAAGAGGGGGAATCACTGCCTCTGGCTAAGCACTTTGATTCTTTGGTCTAAGATTGGGGTGTAGATGGTGACATTGAGAACTGGAGTGACCGAACATACGACAATTCGAGCAATACGAAGAGAAAAACTCAATCACAACCTTTTGTTAATATCTATGGTGTTTTATCTAACCAAATTTTCTCAGAAACGATTAAATTGATGTCTCATTCAACAAGTACACTGACTTCAAAGAGACTAAAAATATTAAAAATAGAAATGTCTGTTTTGAGTGGCTTAATATAAACTGAGACAATAAAATACAACACTTTTTGAATAAAATAATGAAATTTAATGTCAAAGAGGGGAATTCAAAGCAGAATGATTGGTAGTTCCGTCTGTGGTTCAAAATCCACCGACCATTTCAAAATCTTCATAACTCTATTATCAATCCAGAATAATCTTTTAGCAAATAAACGTGTGTAATCATATTCATTATTAAGTTGAATAAGGATGTGTCTTCCATCTAAAAGTCCAATTTTTCAATCCCCAATAATATACATAAGCTCAAATTCCTTCCCAATAAGCTCTATTTTGAGATGGTCATAAAGAAATTTCCTGACCAAATTCAGACGACAGGAAAAAGCAAGCTGATTATATTCAACATTCGTAAAAAGAATATTTGATTTCACATTCTTCCTATCATGTTTCTTGATGTCCACCGCTAACTCAAACGAAGGAGTGAAAGAGCACGATTTAGAAGTACTTGGGGCGTGGACACCCGCAAGAGAGCAGTATACGATCTGTCTGAAGTCATCACCAAAAGGAGGTGTGACGATATAACAGTAAAGTTACAATGGACGGAAGAGCAAATGCAGAAAGGGGGGTCAACGGTAACCCTGTCCAAGTTGAGCAGAGGACGGAAATCTCTGCTTCGAGTCCGAGGAAGGGACGAGCCCGCACCCAAATGTCCTTCAAAAGAAGAAGGACTGCGAGAGGCAGCTGAGACGACGCCCCCGAGCCCGACGACTTCTCAGGACGACGAAGTACGAGCCACTGAAGAGAACACAGACCTTCTCGAGACGATGAAATACAAGTCGTTGCAACGCAAGGCGACGAAAAAGGCGAACGACGAGCAGTGCTTGATCGACGAGAAGATGCAATGAAGCAAAAAAACCAAGGTTCGCCTTTAAGGCGAACCCTAGCAGAGCAAGAGCGAGATCGATGAAGCCATATATATATATATATATATATATATATATATATATGTATATATGTTTATGTTATATGTATGTATGTATATATATGTATGTATGTATATATATGTATGTATGTATGCATGTATATAGTTGTGTGTGATAGAAAATTACCGCTTAAACTTGAAGAAAAATTTTATAAGATGGTGTTGAGACCTGCAATGATTTATGACATTGAATGTTGGCTAGTAAAAGAGAGGCATAAAATTAAGTTGAGTGTTGTTGAGATGAGAATGCTCAGGTGATTGAGCGGTATTACATTAAGAGACAAAATGTCAAACAAATATATCCATAAAGGGGTTGGAGTAGCTCCAATGGTAGACAAGATTATAGAAAGTAGCTTTAGATGGTTTGGTCGCATTAAACGTCGACCATCTGATAACCCTTTTAGTAGAGTAGATGTTTTTGATTTGACTTATGCTTAGAAAAATAGAGATAAACCTAAAAAGACTTGGGCATGTTCTATAAAAGATGATCTTAATTTATTAGAATTAAATAAAAATATGCACTCAATCAGACATAGTGGAGAAAATGGATTCATGTAATGGTTCCCACTTAGTGAGATAGAGGCTTATTGTTGTTGTTGTTGTTGCTGTTGTTGTTGTTGTATTACTTCAAACCAAAGCAACATCTCACACTTAGCCCGCACCCCTTAGGATAGATCTTACGTTGTATGTCATATTTTATCTTAATTTTGTATGTTGCTTTCATTTAATGTTTTATAATAGTTTGATTAGGTGATGTCTACATTATGCATTTTCTTTGTGGAATTTGTAACATGATATTTAAGGCTACACAGTTTGTTATTTGATAGAGGCCAAAGTAATCATTCTTTACTACGTTATAATGTTAATATAATTAAAAGTTATAATGCTAATATATTAATTTTTACCTTTATTTTGACTTATCGTAATTTTCAAACAATGAAGCTTATTTCTCAAAATACCTAAAAGCTTACACCTCGCCTTGCAAATGAAAAAAAGTCTCAATACCCAATTGCACAACTTTAAACTGGCAGATTAATATACAATTTGAATTATCAAATTCCACCAGCTAACTTTATCCAAGTTCTTGACATAATGTCAATATATTTTATGTTCAATCCTAATTCATCCGTATCCAATCCCAACCAAGTAAGCTGAAATGCCAGCCTCAATATCTATTCCAACCTCACAAGAAAATCTTCTTGCATTAAATGCAATCTGTCAGAAATAAGAGTGCACCAAGATCATTGCTAAAACAAAGCTTTCCCCAGCAGTCCATAATAAATAAGACTAACTTAGAGGATTACTAAAAAGAAGCACTCTTTACACAAATACATTTATTGTGACTAGAAATGAAGAATCGGTGAACACATATTAAAACATATTAATGAATAGAAAAGAAAACTCTAGCATTAAATAGATCATTACATCTCCCAGCAACATTAAGGAATACAAATCGGTAAAATAGAACTAAACCTATCAGCACTTTGCTTCAAAAAGTTGCAGTGAAAGATTTTAGGAGGAACAAAAAGCTATAAAGCAATTTGATAAGGTGACCAGGCTACACCATATCTTGATTGAATTATATTCAAGTTTCAATTTCAACTCTTGAAAGTAATCAGAAGAAGAAATGAATATGAAGGCAAGACCAAAGCCACGATCAAACATTCCATACCTAAACTCTACTCTTTTTGCTCACCAATTGAAGTTCCCCTGCTGTTGTTGCTGCTCCCAACACTCTCACCACCAACAGCATCCGTCACCAGCGCGATCGGCCGGTGTTCGATGACCTCATCAACAAGCCCAAATTCCTTGGCCTCCTCCGGCGACATGAATGTATCCCGGTCCAGAAACTTCTCAATCTTCTCAAGCGGTTGCCCGGTGTGCTTGTTGTAGATGGCCTTGAGCCTCTCGTGCATCTTAATGATCTCCTTTGCATGGATGGCAATATCCACTGCCTGACCGCCAATGCCGGAGGCAGAAGGCTGGTGTACCATGATACGGGAATTGGGCAGTGCACGGCGTTCGCCGGGGGCGCCAGCAGCGAGGAGAAGAGATCCCATGGACGCTGCCTGGCCGATGCAAAGCGTGGTGACCGGCGACCGGATGTACTGGATAGTATCGTAGATAGCGAGACCAGATGTGATGACGCCGCCAGGAGAGTTGATGTAGAGGTGAACGGGTTTCGAGGGGTTCTCGGACTCCAGGAAAAGCAGCTGAGCAACCACGACGGAGGCAGTCTCGTCAGAGATGGAGCCGTTGATACACACGATTCGCTCCTTGAGAAGACGGGAGAAGATGTCATAGGCGCGCTCCCCGCGTGAGGTTTGCTCGATCACCATTGGGATCAGTCCGTAGGATCGGGTGAGGTTGCCGAAGGTGGCGGCGGAAGAGTTGGGGGGAAGGAGGCACGGGGCGGCTCCGATTGCGGCGGCGTGACACCGGGAGAGACCGAGACGCCACATCTCAGTAGGGTTTAGGATTTTTCCTGCTGGGCGACGGCAGCGATCGGGAGGTGGTAGTTTGACTGACCGAACGAAGGGGAAACAAAGCCAGGTTCGAGCTCGTGCTTGAGTTGAGACGCCATGGAACTCGAGTTTGCTGATCCAGTAGCTTGGCGAGTCGACTTCAATCTCAATGGGCACATTTTTAATAGGGGGAGAGTTAAATATTGACAACGCATTTATATATCATAGATATTTTGATTGATTAATTTAAATTTTGAATAAAAAGGAGATCATGAATTAATTTTTAATGATATCATAATATATATTTGATAATGCATATTAATTTACATAAGTAATAAGACCTTCTAACTTTTTATCATTTTGATCTTCCTACACTATCCTTATAAATTACATGAATTAAAATATTCTTAAGAAAATAAATAAAAGTGCATATAAACAAGGTTACATACACACATTTTTTGTTGCTTTATTGGTCTAGCATAACATTATTTTAATCAAATGATACCTTTTGGGGCATATATTTCGAGCAATTATAATAAATATTCTCTTAATTTTTAGAGCACGCATATAAAATTAAAATAATGCTATCAACCCATTAATGTATCACCTGTAAAATAAAAAAATAGAAAAAAAAAATTGAAACTAACTACACCCTAATTCAAGGATGTTTAAACTTATATATATATATATATATATA